GCTCGCCCCGAGCCGGTCCTGCCTGCCGGGGGCAGCCCCTGCCGCCCCCGGGACCCTCCTCGCGTCGCGGGCCCCAGCTCGGTTCCCTCGGGCCCCCCCGGAGCCATCGACTGGCTGGTACGTGAGGGTCCTCCTTACCCTGACGGGGCTGTTGGGGTCGTTTCTGGAGGATGCCGCTGTCGCAGCTGTCCGGGGGCTTTTCCGCTCTGAGTATGGCCTGGGGGCTCCCACCCCCTGGCGGGTGACACGCACCCCCTTGTCCCTCCTGAACGTGTCCTCGCGCCTTCCTATTCGGCTCACGGGAGTTCCCCTGAGTAACGTGCCAGTTATTTCACCATTCTTGCCGCACACCCCATTACCCTCAGGATGAGCAACGCATCTGAGGGGTTCACTCCCTGGCCCCCCGTGTCCTACCCCGCCACAGGAAGGGCGTGTGGCACGTGCCACCTCAGTGACGTCCAGCCAGGACACGCCGATGCTCCCACAGCCTCTGCACCACACTGCTCTGCCTTCCCCTACTTCATCCCCTCCCATCTTCTGAGCACCACAACCTCATGAAAGAGACAGAGTTTCCTTCCCAATAAGTTGCATCACATGATTGTGGGGTAAAATAAAAAAACATGTAAAAGTTTTAAACTTCCCCAAGTAACTACATTGCTTTGTCCTCCCCAGATACCTTTTATATGATGTAAATCCTCCTGAAGGGTTCAACCTTCGCAGAGATGTCTATGTTCGCATTGCTTCCCTTCTAAAGACCTTGCTGAAAAATGAAAACTGGGTGTTAGTTCTGCCTCCCTGGGGACGCCTTTATCACTGGCAGAGCCCTGACATCCTTCAGGTCCGGATCCCTTGGTCCAGCTTCTTCGATCTCCCAAGCCTCAACAGGAACATCCCTGTCATTGAATATGAGCAGTTTCTTGCAGGTAGAGTATGGAATTGTACAATCTGCAATTGACTAAATATTTGAGGTGATTTCTTCGCAGGTTTAGCCTTATATGTGCTTTTATCCTTATATGTGAAATAAAAAAAGGTGGCGAGAGGTGGGATGGGAAAGAATAGTGCAGAGTAACAAACCACTAGAATGAAATAACCCAATTATTTGGCAGCTCTTTTGATGTAGCACCATCAGCCCCTCGACTTCCTAGGGACCCTGGAGAAAGACAGTTAATGCCTGTGGTTAAAGTCACAGGTACCTCTGCAAAATTCTGGCTGTAGTAACAAACCTGTAAGGAGAGAGAGTCAGCCTGCAGCTCTCTGTTGAACTACAGACAAGCCGCCTTTTTCTGGAGGTGGTTGGACAGTAAAAGCTGTACAGTGGGTTCTCCTGTGAACTTTTCATCATCAGTGCTGCACATAACTCAAAATACTTACCCCCTGCTTTTTTGTGTACAAAATGGTATATAAGAGAAAGACTTTCCTTAAGAATATGGAAACCATGAAGTTGGTTCCTTTAGGATTTAATGCAATGTTGAGCTAATCACCAAATGCCAGAATCTGCAGCAGTGTCACGGGCTTTTTCATCAAAGGAAATAAAGGTGACCAAAGGTCACACCTCTGCAAAGATCTCTAAGGGGATCAGTTGTCCCTTATATTTCAGGAGAAAGCATTTACAAACCCTGAAATTTAGGGGAAGAAGGGCTTGTACTTGTCATTTTCTTGGAGACACTCTTCCCATAGCAGCTACCTCCAGCACTGAAAACCTCTGTGCTTCATGGTGTGGTTTATCCAGCTTTTAAATTTACATTTCCATGGCAATTCAGTTCTGTTTGGCACATTAAATCACGCATGGCTGGGTGGGAGTAGCAGGTTGTCACATCCCCTGACCCTTTTGGCTTTTCTGGCTTACACAAGACATCCTTTCCTTTTTTATAGGGAAAACATGGAAGAGAGAGAATAGTGTAATATTAGCATTCCTAGCCGATTTTTAACTGCAAGTAATGCTTATTCATACCTTTATCATGTGGTTTTTCATACTCACAAATGCTTTGCTTTGCCTTCTGCTCAGAGTCAGGTGGGCCCTTTATTGAACAGATTTATGTCCTACAAGGCTACGCAGAAGGATGGAAAGAAGGAACCTGGGAAGAAAAAATAGATGAAAGGCCATGCATTGATCAGCTTATGTACTCCAGAGACAAACATGAGTACTACAGGTAACATCTCACAGTCCTTAGACAGACTAACAGAGCAGAGTTGTACGGTTGTTGTAGGGTTGTCTATGAATCTCTGGATGCTTGGGGTTCACTTTGTTTTTAAAACTTCATCAATCATGTACTGGTACTAGAAGATCTAATTTTAGAAAGTTGTTGTTTCACACAAAAACATTATAAAGGAGCTGGCTGGTTTATTTACATGATATATTATCTTTTTAGGTTGTACTGTTTATTTGTTTCATTATATGTGTCATTAGTTTAAAATACAAGCCTGTGAACCAATACTTTGTGTTCCTTTTCAGGGGATGGTTTTGGGGTTACGAGGAAACACGGGGCCTAAATGTCTCTTGTTTGTCTGTCCAAGGATCTGCCTCTATTGTGGCTCCCATCCTTTTGAAGAACACTTCAGCACAGTGAGTTGCCTTGTATTACTATTTGGTGTTGTACTGCATGCTCACAAACCCATTGTCAGGTGGGAGGAGCAGGGGGAATTTACAGGCTATGTCTCACTGTTGTCATATTTCATCGCTGAATTAGTGTAAACTATGAAAATAATTATAAAAGGAATTTACACTGGAAGAAACACCTAACTGTAAATTAGGTTAAATGCTGCAGTGCTAAAACCTAAAAGGAGATAGTCAGGAGCTCCTTCATATTCTCTCTCATGTAGCTAAATGTCCTTGCCACCCTGTGTTTACCTTTCCTGCCTTTACCCTTCGATGCTGGGTCAAGAGGGAACGGATAGAGTGGAATCAGTGTTTCCCAAGCTCACATCTCAGATCATGCACTGCCTGGTCTCCTGTGATGTCCATCTTCAATAGTGTGAGCTGGGTTCAGAGAAAGCAAGCAGCATGTTTTGTCTTTCTGCTCTGAGATGCCACTAGGATGATCAGAGAAAAAGAAAGCTCTTATATGAGAGGTGGAGCACGCTTACATTATCCCAGTAGCAAAGTATTTCCAGTCAGCTGTGACACTGTAGCAAGAGAAGACATGGTAGCAAAGCAAAAGCTGCTGGGTTACAGGGGAGAACAGGAAGAGGAAATAATCACTGTCCATGAATGCATCAGGGAATAAATCCATAGGAGAAACACAGACCGTGTAAGCTCAAGTGCAGTTTTGCTATGAGAACAAAAACATCCAAAAGTTTGACATCAACATGATTTAATTGAAAATGAGATGAAGGTTCCTCTAAGCAGAGCAGTGGGGATCAGTAGTACCTCCTGCTGGGAGCAGAGGAAGCAAAGTCCTGTTTTTTAACAGAGATGTTGTTCTCTTTATAGGAGTTATACCAGAATATTTGCAGTGACAGCAGAAAACTGGATTAAATATGCCATAGATGTCTCCATATTTAGCCCTACAGTTAACTTTTTCATGGCAACTGTCGAAAAGTCTAGCAATGAGGAAAGTCAAAGGAAAAATTAGGAGTAGTGCCTCAGTATTCCTGACACACAGACAAGGTGCTTTATACACAAGACCACATTTCTCAGATACAAGTACAAAGAAATGACAGAGATGCAAGGGCAGGTACAGTGTTCATCTTAAAACTAGTGGTTCATGTTAAAGTCAGTCTAGTTTAGTGTGTGAAATCCAAGAGCAGCTAAAATCAGATGTCTGGGGGAAGAGTATAAGAACTGAGCAAATGTGTGTAATGCCTTCCCTGAGTCTTGTCACACCCTTCAGATCTGTGATCATAGGGACCTTCTGAGCCAAAAATGATCTTCTGATCTTCTGTATCCTTCAGTGGTTCCGTGGATCTGTGCACGCTTCCCTTTGAACCTCCATGCACACTGTTAGCATCCACAAAATCTTGGAACAAGACCAAAAGGTTTTGAACCTTCACTGTGCATCCCATGAAAATCCACCTCCTTTTGTAACTCCTGCCTGCAAGTTTCATCTAATGTTCCCTAGTTCATGTAGTAGAACAGCTCTTCCATATTCACCTCCATGCATGATTTTACATTTCTCTATCCTATTCTCCCTCAGTTGTCTCCTCTGCAGTATGAAGAGTCCTGGCTTCATTAGTTGTTCTTCTAGTGAAAGCCTTTCCATGCCTTTGGTTACCCTTGCTGCCATTCTCTCAACCTTTACAGTTCAGCTGGATCCTGCACACTGAGTGCAGGTAAACCCATTACCTAGTGGTGCAATGACATGCCCTGTTTAGTGCTCTCTTCTTTTTCTGGCCATTCCTACTATACGAGTTCCCCTTTTTGACCTCTGATGAGTGTTGCCTTGATGTTTTCATCAAACTGTCGCTCATTCCTGAGCATCGATGGTAAGCATGGAGCCCTTTAGTTGAAGCCAGTATTTTTTTAGTAGATGCACTCCCACATTAGATTTTATTGGCCAGTCATCAGACTTCTCTAATTCTTCACAGCTAGCCTTCGTCCTTGCTGCTCTGAGCAATTTAAAATGATCAGAAGGCTGTGTCACCTCAGAGTTCATGCCCCTTTGTAGTTTGTTCAGGAATACAGGGAAACGCAGATCCCTTCCACCTGTGACCTCCGTCTGCAAATGGCAACTGGACATTTATCCCTGTCTAAACTTCTTTTTAATCTGTGCAAGGACCTTCTCTTGTGTGCCATTTCTGTTAAGTTTTCTTAAAAGCCTTTAACGAAGGCTGTCAGGAGATCCTGGTAGGCAGTGTCAGTGAGGTTTCCCTTACCTGCATGTGTGCTTATGTCTTCAGACTACTCTGATTGTTCAAAGCTCTGTGCAGATGCTTCCCCAATTTACTTTAGGTATCCATTTATTTCTGGTTTGTGCAGATGCTTCCCCAATTTATTTTAGGTATCCATTTATTTCTGTTTTTTTATAATAGTTGCTATTAAGTTGTCCTGTACTGACATCAGGTTTAGTGCCGTGTTGCGTCTCAGACCTCCCCAAGTGCGTTTCTAGAAAATTGACATCACATTTGCTGTGTTGAAGTTCTAAGAGAGATGTTGCATACCAGAATTAGTGGCACAGCTGCTTCATCCTTGAGTTCCTTGACAACTGTTGGGTAAATACCGCCTGATATTGGCCATTTGTTGGTTCATTTTGTCTCACTGTTCCATCGCTAGACACTTCTTGAGGAGACCTTGGTTTGAGAACATCCTCTGTAAAATATGAATCTTCCCAGCTCCTCCACCTGACACACAGCTACAAAAAACTTACGGTAGCTGTTTCTGTCGTGATGTTATTGTCTCCAAGTGCTTGTTAAGCCTTTAATTTCCTTTTTCTGTGGAAGAAACATCGTCATCAGATTGAAGGCCTTTATGTCTTGTCATTCAAATTCTTTTTTGACCTTCTTTATTGTCTTTTTCTGTTTAAATTCCTGAAGTTTATGAGCCTTTCTGTTTTCTTCACTAGTACAGTACTTTTGCATTTTTGCCTAGTCCCCTTTTTGAAACTGAATGCAACTGTAGTAGCTTTTCTTTGGGTAATGTTGATCCAGTAGGATGTTGAAGATGAGTATGTTTATGGACACAGTCTGAGAGTATCTCTTTCACTGTGAGATTTTGGTCTATGTCTTGCTGCTGCTCAAGAAATTACCAGGAGCTACTCCCTGCTCACGTGGTTCATGGAACCGTCTTTGATACTGTCTCAAACTGCAGTTGCTTGGTCACATCCTGCTAGGACACTCTCCCAGCCTACCTGGGGATAGTTGAAATCTCCAGGGGCTATGGTGACTTGTGCGCCATGGCCTCTCTGATCTCCTGTATTGCCCTTTTAGCCAGACAATCAGTTATATGGTCTTAATACCGTATTAATAGTCTTCAAGTGTGGTCACCTATGGGAATATTCTTGATACATTTAGATTATTAATCTAATTTCACCTCCAGGCTTCTTGTTAATGCAGTGCTGCTTCTCTACCAGCAGAGTCTAGTCTGTTTTCCAGTTTATTTGTAGCCTTATGTGCAGGTGTCCAGCTGATTCTCAGCAGTGATAATCTAAAGTTGATTGGTTATTTGCTTCTACTCATTTTAGTAGAAGGAGGTCTGGATGATGACTTTGACTCCCTTCAGCAGAAGCATTTCTCTGTGTGTTCACTCATATTCAGTGTGCTCACATCCCATGTGCTCTTGAACACTCAGAACTCTCAAAATCTCTTCTGCTTCTTAGAACTTGGACAGTGCAGTTATGTTTCCAGTACACAGTCTTGAACTGTGTGTATTTTTGAAAAGCATGGGCTGTTTTCATGTTAGTGACAAATTTTCATTTTAAAATTTGTGCTTAGTTGCTAACACATGTCTGTGTGTTCTTTGATCTGTCGTTTTACTGTAGGACGTTTTATTCCACATGTGGAAAATACCTTCCCTGGTTTTGCTTTTGGGAGCGTGACTCCTGCTTTCTCCAAGGGGCTGTCATGTGCTCCGAGGCTGAGCATCATCTCATAGGTCACTTCTCCACTTTGGATCACTCTCCCCACTGGCAACCTTATTTCTTCAGCACCAACTACTGTGAGGACTATGTGAGGGATTATTAATGCTTGTTTGTGTTTAACTGTCAGAATTAAGAGTACCATTTATTAAGGAAGAGAGCAGGAACATGCAGTGGCATAGTTCCCCTTTCTCCCCAGCAGGCTTTGGGTGACAGTTTGCTTTATACACAACAGACTGGCAGCCCATCCCTTATTCCCCGTGCTCCCTTTGCAAACAGATCATAGTCTGTGCTTTGTCCTGGCAACTGTATAAAGAAACTTCGTAATGTAAATTATATTCCTAAGGGAACTGCACTCAGTTTTACAATTTTTACTAGGTCAGTGATGTTAGACAGAGCTGAAAACCTTCTTCATGACCACTACGGAGGGAAAGATTATTGGAATGTGAGTATTTTCCAGTTAGCTTCTCTAGACTTTCTACTTGGTTCTGATAAAAATTCAATAACCTTCAATTTTACCTTGGGTTTCTTTTCTTAAAAGTTAACTTGTGTCTTATGTTTCAGCAGCATATGCTAACGATGGTCTTCAGGTCACTGTGAATTAATGTAATGCACGAGTTTGTCCTGGGGCCTTAGTGCTACAGAGTGTGGCATTTAGAAGGACCTCCCCTGTCCAACACACGTGCAGTCAGAAGGGAACTGCATTTGAGCAGTTGCTTGTCTAGTCAGCTTCAAGATTAGACTTTTCAAAAGAATTCCCAGAAGTGCTCAATATTGTCCTAACTGTCTCTCTGTTGGCTTTGGTGTCAAAATTCCCATGGGTTTTAAGGTAACGCTGAGCACTTTCAGAGACCTTTGGAGCACTTTGATCTGATGGTAAAATAATTCCTATGGGAGAAGTTTTAAGACAAGGTTAAAGGGTGCAGGAAAACGGAACACAATATGGAGTGCTTGATATAATCAAAATTTCTAAGAGAAAGTGACTCTCATGATATTATGAAACAAGTTACATAGACCTTGGTCTTGTAAGATGCAAACATCTGGCTATTCACTTGGTCTATGACATATTTTTCAGAAATGCACCAAGCAGTAGTTTGCTAACTATGAATTTTCATTGAGAGTGAATTTCCAAACAGAGAAATACAACCCACGTATCATTTCTGACTCTCGACTTGTAGTCCTGTAAAAGCAGACTATAAAATCCATATGGATCCATAACATGCATTTCTTAACAGTGGCCGTTTAAACATTGTCTCAACAACTTAAACTTCTCTCAAAATTATTTAAAACTTTCTCAAAAATATTATTCCTTATTTCAGTTTTAACTATCTGCATGATTTTTGGTTGTTGCTTTTTTTTCTTAATAACTCTCTGGATAACGTCTGAAGTTCTTTATAAATCTTGCTAACAAATGCCCTTTTGTCTCAAAGAAGCTTTTAAATTGTAACAAGCCAGCTGCCTTTTCTAACCAACCTATGTCTTTGGTGTCCAAAAATGTTCAAATTTAATAATGACCCACATTGCTTTCCCTGTTGTCACCATTCTTGCATAGGCTTCCCTGCCGCTGCAAGCTGAAAGGTATTGTTTTGGGACTCTTAATGGTTGAATGACCACGGAGCAGGAAAGACCTCCCAAAATGGTTTAGACACAACTGTTGAATCCCTTGAAGAGCATCAGTGTAGCACACAGACCACATGAGCGTTTTACCATCTATATGGAAGCAGAAAATTCTCTAAGGACAACTCTAGACAAGCCAGGAGTTCTGTGTTTGGTTTCACCATTTGGAGGGGGACAGTCTTAAAGAATTAGAGGATCTGTACCGTTAATTCCATTCATGTACACAAAAGGGAGCATAACCAACACTGATTGTGTTTGTTTGCTTGTTTGTCTTCCTAAATTTAGAATCACACAAAAATTTAGGTGGGGAGGTGTCTTGGCAGTCCTGCCTCCGGGTTTCCACTCCAGAACTTGACCTGGTGGTTTGGGGCTGTGTCCAGCTGAAGGTGGAAAGTCCCCATAGGTGGAGATCTGTCACCTTTCTGGGGTCTGTCCGGTGGCTATGCCACTCTTGTGGGCAAGAGGTTTTGTCTGATACCCAAACAAAAGTTACCTTGCTGCAGGTTAGGCCCATGGCTTCTTTTCTTTTTCCATGCACCTCTGAGAAGCGTCTCTTCCCTTCTCTGTTGTTTGTTTCCTTGCAGACAGAAAGGGAGAAGAAGCAAAACTTAGAGGTAGTTGGAAATTGTGACAATATTGCACGTGCAGCTTTGAAACATATACTTTAAATATGAGGATAATGAGATACAGATAGCATCCACTTCAGAAAGTATATCAGTGGAGGTTCACACATTCATCTGTTTTCTCTTTTACATATGCTGTTGCAAAACAAGTGTTCATCCCGAACAGCTGCTGTCAGAGCAGTGCTTTGTGCCCAGGAAGAACTTGGCACAGCATACTGCGTGGGTGCCAAACATGCCATGGCAATCGCACAGTCTGTCGGGATAAAGTTTAGAGGTGTTTGACACCAGCATACCATTTCAAAATGTTTATTGTCCTCCCCAGTGCACTGCACTGCCATGGGTTGTGTACACCTTTGCTGCCTCTTGGACATACTGTGCTCATCGCATCTTGGGTAGGGTTGCCAGTGACTTTACTCGATGGGATCGTATTGTGTTGACGTAGTACATAAAGGAGGGAAAATATCTCTTTCTGAACTGCAGCGTGACTGTTCTGCAGCAGACAGCGTGTACATCTTCCCTTAATATAAATGTTTTGATGGAGAATTTGGGATGTGATTAGAAAGTCGATCTCTTTAAAGACGTTAGAAGAGCAGGCTTTGTACTTCCATTAAATCTTTAGATGTGCATGGATCTCCAGCTACCAGTGTGATGCATCTTACTGAAGACTAAATTGTTCTGTGTCTTATTGAATGATACGGAGGAGGAACCATTTCAACCACAGTGAGTTGGGCATATGGAGAAATAGCTGATTTGGGAAGAGGTGAAGAAAGGCTGACAGATTCGAGTGCCTGTCCCTTTGCTAGAGCAAGGCAAAGGCGATTGGTGCAGCTGTGTCTTGGAGTACCATTAATGCTCTGCCTGGCCTCTCTGCCATGTAGACTGTCCACTGTGGGCTACACTGTGCTGAGAGATGAGAGGCCTTTGGAAATGGAAGTGTTTTCATTGCATCTTCTTTGTTGCTCATCACATGACAGACTACAGACTTGTATACAATCAAGAATTAGACCAAATTACCAAGTGTCCTTTGAGAGCAGTGTAAGTTACATGGGATTTCCTTAGTTCTGTTGTGTGTGCCCGTTAATAAGAAGGCTGTGTGTGACTGCGCAGGAGTAACTGCCATCACAGAATCTTTGAAAGAAGTTGTTATCCACAAGTGAAGGTAATATTTTTTCATCACTTTTCTGCTGAATTTGATAGGAGTGTCTAGGGCTAGATGCTTGATTTTTTTAAAGCAGGTTTTGTTCTTACAGGTGTTTTGCAAGCTAGTCTTTGCCCAGCTCTTGTTTTCAAAGGTGAAGTACATTGCTAGAGTGTTCAATTTGTTAAGTAACTCCAGTCTATAGTACACCTCTGTATACAGACAAGGCCAGATAAGTATGCTGGTTATAAATGTGGTAACAATCAGGATTAAACAGTTAAAGCTCAGATGAAAGGTTAGAAATTGCTGCTTGTAGCACTGCATAGATGTATCAGAAGTAACCCCATCCTGGAAGCTCTGTGTATATGAAACTATCTCCATTTAGTCATTTTTAGCTCTTCCTTTTTTTGACTCAGCATCTGCTCTTATTCCAACAGACCCGTCGGAGCATGGTGTTTGCTAAACACCTCCGTGTAGTGGGAGACGAGTTTAGAAACAAATATCTTCAATCCACAGATGAGGCAGACAGGACTCATTACAAGGAGGACTGGACACAGATGAAGGTAAAATGGTAACAGCCTGTTTCCTATAACAAATACGGTTTTTCTTTTGTTTCATTTGTATACTCCTGGCTGTATACTGCAGGCAGTGTTGGAAGATACATGTGAATCTAGCTCTCCCTGCTCAGATAGAGGTGGACATGCATGTTCCTACTGTACCCTCTTCTCCCTGTGTGACATAACTTAATGGAGCCTATTGAGATGTGGCTGCCTGGTACTGGGTGACAGACTTCTCTTACCCTTGTTTCACTAAAGGAAACTTGTATTTTATCTTGTATTCAGCATCATCTGTGGGTATAAAGTTCAGCTGCAAACTGCTAGTTGTGCAGGTCAAGGAGAGCAATTTTTGCTTACAAAGATTTTGCACTCTAGTTTTTCTTGTATAATGCAGGCCACCCAAGATCAAAATGTTGCAGTAAGTGTCCCAAAATACTGCCAGTCCATGCCTTAAAATGACTTTATGTTGCTAGAGTAATTCAGTGCCTTATCCAGAGATTCAGGCGTTTTCAGTATGAATGAATAGTGGTGCTTTCAAGTTTTGAAGTTTATTGATCTTTCTCTCCTAGGTTAAGATGGGCACAGCTCTAGGTGGTCCATACCTTGGGGTTCATCTCAGAAGGAAAGACTTCGTTTGGGGTCACAGAGAGGACGTGCCTTCCCTGCAAGGAGCAGTAAAGAAAATCCGCAGCCTCTTGGAGATGCACAAACTTGAAAAAGTTTTTGTAGCCACTGATGCTGTTGAGGAGGGTAGGCAGATTATAGTCAGTTTAGGAAAGATAAATTTTAACAATGAGAGCAGCAATTACCACTTCGTTTTTATGAATGACTGAAAAGTTCTTTCCATCTGGCTTGAGCAGTTGGTATCCAACCATTCATTTGGTATTTCCCATAGGAGGTTTGATGGTCTCTATAGTGGGAAATCTGGAATTGAATTTGCCTGTTCCTCCTCCTCTTCCTTCAATCCCACCTTTTTTCTTAGTATTTCAGAGACTCTTAGACATGCTAGTGGGAAGGGGGTCCTCTGGAGTCTCACACCCAGCCTTCCCCTTGGCTGCCCCCAGCACCAAACTGGGGGGGACCTGGCTGTGTGTGGCGAGGGCTTAGAAACCCCCAGCAGTGGGCTTCCCCTGCCCAGGCCTGCACCTCCCTCCCAGTAGTATCCCAGGGCCTGTTTCAGTGCATGATGTTAGAATAACCCTGCAAGGCATGGCATCTGCGACAACTCACCTAAGTTTTTCTGTCAAGAAAGGCCTCTTGGGCCACCTAGCCTCTAGGATTAGACAGTGAGGCTAGTGGTAGTGTTTGTTCTACCCTTGGCAGGCTTCCCCAGCCCCTCAGAATTGCCCCCCTTGGCGCCGTGTCTCTGCCCCACTGGCTCCCCCCATGCCTACAATACTCTGACATTTGGCAAACGTGTTGTAAAATTTGGTTTCGCTTGCTTCGTAAATGTTCACCCAGGGTTTTCTTGAACGCTTATGTTTTATGACAGCAGCAAGCTGCTCTTTATAATGTAAAACTAGATTTGCATCTTTCCCTTTTTCAGAGGTTGAATTGCTCAAGCAACTACTGCCTGAGATGGTGAGGTTTGAACCCTCTTGGGAGGAGCTGGAACTCTACAAAGATGGGGGCTTGGCTGTGATTGACCAGTGGATCTGTGCCCATGCAAGGTAGCCCATTTGACTTTGAGGAGACAAATCTTACTGTTCTCACTGTCACAAAACTGAACATTGTTTTTGACGCAGATATAGTTGTTTACAAATCATACATGACATGATATTATATAATTGATATATAAAAAATAGATATATAATGGTGATATTGTGTATATATAATATATATGATAATTTCATATCATATAATTTCAACAAATGTTAAAAGTTCATTGGACTGAAATCAACTATTTGCCTTTTAAGAAACTGGCCCCCTTCACAAACCTGTTCTGATTTTTTCACAGGTATTTTATAGGCACCTCAGTTTCAACATTTTCCTTCCGGATCCACGAGGAAAGGGAGATCTTGGGATTTGATCCAAAAACAACTTACAACCGGTTTTGTGGTGAAAAAGAGAAAAACTGTGAGCAGCCAACTCATTGGAAAATTGTATACTAAAATACAGAGAAATCCAGGGACTGCAATACTGATGAGCTCGAAAGAATAAGGAAAAACTACGGGGAAACACCTCCCGTTGATCAAACTACAACTCAGTCCTCTACCCTCTTCTCAGCATTTACTTGACATTTGGGATTTGAAATACAAGCAATATTCATCTTCTTAGTCAGGCATTGATGGGAGTGAGAAAAATGAAGTCAGGCTGGGATCCAGTTCTCAGCATAGCTAGGATTAAAGGACAACACCAGACACTGCAATTGAGACTTGAAAGGCAAAACTTTGTCCTGAAACTGAGTACCAAATGAAGTAAGTCACGGGTTTCTTTGGACTTCTGAGAAAGACAAGGTATCTTTCACAAATGTAACACAGCTGTGATCTGTACTGCATTTCTGTCTTTATTTTTTGTTCTGTTTAGTGTTGGTCTCTCTGATCACAAAAAATACAATCTTGGTTTTGTAACCTGCACTATGTGAGCTGCAGATTATGCATAAACTCTGCTGTTCCTTGGGGGAGTCTTCCCTTTTCAGATAGTAATTTATGAACATTCAAATTGCCAGTGCTCGATATAAAGGAGGTGGTGTTTCTACCTGAACACCAGCTGCTTCTAATAGCAGTCTCAGTGGGCCTGTGCTGAGAGAGGCACAAAGATGGGGCTTGTAGGTTGGTAAAAGAAAGGTTGTTCCTTCTTAAGTTTTACATTCACAAAGGAAACTTGTTTTTTTTCCCCCATCATTCCCCCAAAGGCCTCCCATCAGTTGGACTGATGCAAAAGTCAGCACCCTATGGGGATCACCCAGTCACTGAATTCAGTGGTGCTTTGCTTGGGAGCATGCTAAAAGGCCTTTCAGCTTTCCACATCCGTTAAATGCATCGTCCCAGTAATTTGACAAGTGAATTTTCTGCATTTCTGCTTTCAGTTTATATAAGGGAGTAAACTGAGGACAGTTGCAGACAGCAAAGGTCATGGGGCCTCGAGATAGTGTGTATAAGCCCTGGCAGCTGGGCACCTTGCAGGTGAGGTGGTGCTCTGAGGGAGGCAGCTGGCTGGTGCTACAGGGGAAGAGCCTGTGGGAGGTGGAGGGAAAGTGTGACTCCCATTTCAGGAGGGGTTTGTATGAGTACCAGTTCTAGCTCTTGCAGTCTCCTGCTACGTAGAATTGACTGCTCCATTCTGTGCTTCAGGTGGGTCTTTTGCCCTTCAGGTCAACATGGCTCTGTTAAGCAGGAGGAACCTTTTTCAGAAGTGGACTAGGAAACAGATTTCAAAAGGGGAAGCAGACATTTTTCCTTCAAGTCAGTTTTACCAGATTACCTTGGTGATAGCTGTCCCTTCACCTGCTCTTTCCTCTTGGCTTGGGTAGGAACATACACAACCCACCTGCACTGTGCCTTGGACATTTCACAGATGCTCCCAGACAAGGAGGTGGTTTCCTCCCATGCAGCTGCAGCGGAAGCTGTGAAATCTTTTCCAGCAGTAGTAGCAGCAGCTCTTCTGTTCTTACCAGCTGTTTATTTATCTCCAGGCAGCAGCTGAGCCTCTCTGGCAGCAAAGGGGGGAGCCCAGCATTACAAAGCAGTGCCTTTTCCTACCAAGTCGAATGTCGTTTAGCCTGTGCGCCCTTTAAAGCGACGGTGGCATTTTATGTGTATTGTATACCTCATTGAGAAAAATAAAAAGCTTTGTAGCATTTCATGTGACATGTCCGTAACCGTGGATTTTGCCGTCTGGCTCCCTAGCATCAGCCTCCAGTGTAAGAGGAACTGCATGCCCCAGCAAGGTTTTTTCATGGTCTGTCCCATGAGGCACTTCATTAGCGAGTGTAGCTGGTGTTACCCTTCCTGGCACGGGGAGATGTCACTGGTAAATCCCATTGCCCCCCACTGCAGGAGGGATGTAGACAAAGAGGCAAGAGGCCAGAGGAAGGCTGCTGAAACCAGCGGCCACTGGAGCACAGGAGGAGAGGGGAGAGTTTGGCTTTTTCAGTCTGGAGAAGGTGAAAGAGGGATCTAACTTGTCTTGTGCTTCATCAAAGGTGTCTCAGGAGGGCCTCTCTGAGGTGCACAGCAGAAGCCCAGGCGCAGCTGGCCACCAGGTAACGTGGTTGGGTACAAGGTGCAGTCTCTTGTGCCCAGGAGCTGCGCAGCCCGGGGACAGGGCCTGGAGGGGAGCGGTGGCTCTTCAGCCCTGCTGTTCCAGCCTTGCTAGAAGAGTCAAAGGCAGTGGAGTACAAGCTCATGTGCAGTACAATGTCATTTCTATCCACCTTTCTGGCTCAAACAGAAAATGGGGATCAGAGATGAAAGCAGGGTGACAGCTCCCAGGGTCAAGGGTTTCCAACAACACCCCTTCCCCCTGAATCCCTGTCGTCATCATCATCATCAAAAGCTGGAAGGGTGACAGCAGTGGCTGAAAGGGTGGGATTTGCTTCTTGTTTCTTAAATCCACAAGATCAGTGACAACACATTTGCAAACATATGTATGTACAAAGATACATACACAGTGATGCACGTATACATGACCACAGCACCTTTTATCTGTCAATCTGTGGCAAAACATCTATTGCCCTGTTCTACCACTGGCTGCTGTTTTCTGGATTGTAAAGCAGGGAATTGAGCAGAGCAGACCTCGTTAGCCCATTACAGGGGAAAGCTTAGAAGATTTGTATCCTTGGCAGTAATGCTGTTACATTCCATTTTTAGAGTAGATGAACTTACAGGATCAGTTCTGTCTCAGTGTATGGTGGAGGAAGACTCATCAATGCAAAAATAAAAAGAGCAAAAGTTCTGTGAGATGCAAGAATATCCACAGAGAGTATCACGACAAGTTTTTTTCTCCACCTTCAAGGACAAGCATCATGTGTTTTTCATCTTGTCCCATTCCTTTCCACAGAGGAAGTTTTAAAGAGAGAGAGAAACCTGAAGCACAGCTGCCATCATGTCCTTTGCACAGCCATTGTAGGAGCCTGCTGTATAGGTTTTTTATTCCATACACCATTTCTCAGGCCGGCCATTGAGCACCCTGGCTACCAGCATAGCCTTTCTGTCACAAGGCGGAGACAGTAGACCAGTCTGTGACCAGCCCCAGATCCAGACCTGCCGCTCCACACTGGACCAGAGCAGCTGTCCCCTGCAACCAGCACTGGAGTAGGGTTTGTCGGTACACGTAAAACCTATAAATTATGAGACTGTGTACAGATTACGGTAACCAGCCATGGATGGTTTCTGAGAGAGCTGGATGGTGGGGCAGGGGTTATTTTTCTTCTTTTGGTCAACAATTTCCTTGGGGGGAGGAAAGGAGTAAACTAATGGCTACCAGGCATGTCCATGGGTCTGCATGTGTGGTCTTGTAAGCTCTGGTGTTTAAGTGTGATTAGAAAAAAGTCCATGTGCATTTCCTTTCTCTATAAAACTGAACTCTCTCCCTTTGCCAGGACCGATGCTAAGGGTGAGCACCAAGAGATTGGGCTTTTGCTGTCCCCAGCACCAGGGACCTGGGTCCCCACCCCACACTGCAGTAGCGCTGGCACCCCACAGGGCTCACCCAGCCCACCCAAAAGCGGGGCTTGAGGCTGTAACTGTGTGCAGGATCCACACCCAATGGAGGATGTGTGCTCAGAGGAAAACCCTGGTGACCCCCTACGAGTTCCTAGAAGTTAAGGAGGGACACATCCACTTGGGATTTGAGTAAACAACTGCAAACCATTTTCCAAAAGCAGCAGCAGCAGCCACAGAGTCCTCCCCGCACCCAGCCATGCGTCTGTGCCGGAGCTGCAGACCTGCTGCATGTTTTGGGCAGCAGCAACACTGCACCCCGGCAGCGGGTTGGTGTCCGGGGGGCAGGGAGGGCAGCTCCTACCTTCAGAACTTCCCATTTCCAGCTGCAGGCGCCTGCGCTCCCCAGGCACTCCCGCTTTCTCCGCAAGGCAGCGCCGTGTGCTCCCGAGCGTGCAATCCTTTTCTCCCTCCCTCCTTGCAAAAGCTGCGATTTCCAGATCAAATGGGCAGCTTCAGAAATACACTCTCAGCTTACTTCCTCACTAGCTCTTTAGGATGTAATCAAAACCACCATTTTAAGGACACACACTATTCTGTGACGCTTCACTTATTTTTTTTCTGCTACTAGCGATATCAATATACAAAAACAATGATGAAACTTATCAATGATATAGCTCTTTATATTTTCAAATCTCTGTACAAACATTAATTAAACAAAGCAAGGTAGTATGCAAAACAGTCATTGCTTAGAATAATCGACCGATGAATTGTGCTTTAGCGGTGACACTGGGATAGGAAAGTGACAAACCAGAGGTAAAATGTGGTCTCGTCTTCAAAGTTGTGATTATGAATGGAGAAAGTAACTGTTGAGGGCAGTATCTGAGAGTGTTCATTAATATCCTTACACCAGGTATGTAAAGCTAATGTATTCACACTATCACACAGGAAGATTGGGGAAGAATAACTGCTTAATGCAAATAATATACAGCAATATTATATATATATATATATATATATATATGTATAAATATATATTCACACACACATTTGATCTTAAATTTCTTAAAGACGTCTCAGCTGGACTACAACAAAAATGATATTGGTATGGTAACAATGAAGATATTAAAAATGTGAAAAAATACTGCAGTAATCTCAACTATGGATCTTTCCCTCCAGAGAATGGAGATTCTTTAAATCATTACATCTGCTGGGGCTGGCTGCCCTCTGTACTGAAGCAAACACATCTCTTAATTCCTCTTTTCCAGAATGACTGAAGAAAACAAAACATAGCTACCCATAAAACTCATTCCTGCACATGCAAATGCTGTTGGCACAATTAATGGCCCATTTATTGACAAGCGATGGGACAGACCTTTGGCTGCAAAGGTTCTGAAAAACACCATATGTTGACGGGATCCAAGGAGAAACTCCAGTCCTATCTGCTCTCCACCAGCTATAAACGGTTCAGGATTTCAGTCACAGCTTGGTTTTTGCACAGCTTGTTTGTCAGTTTGCAATGTTCCTACCACAACCAGCTCAACAGAAACAACAGAAGTTGTTTTATCAGAAGCACGGTACCAGCTTCGGCACGTGATGCTACCAGAGGTACTTCGGGACCTTAGTTTTATGTGCCTGAGTGTGTTCCGGGGACAAAGACCTGCCTAGTGATGAACCACCACACATCCTGTGGCTGTAAACACCCAACCTGTCTGCCACAGACACCCACGCAACCTTTCTTCCTTGGGGGTCAACCCAAAATTATTGCAAATACTCTAGATCAGTTGTTTCCATGCAGGAATGGCAGCAAGCCTGACATACCCTTAAAGCCTTGAATTTACAGACAACTGGGGCCCGCCTGTGCTGGGATGTCTCTGGGAAACGGGAGCTGGGAACAATTCCTTTGGCCCATGCTCCCCATCTCCTGCCCAAGGGCCTCTCTGCTGAAGAGCAGGAGGGAGCAGAAATCCCACCCTGTGCCGTCAATTCCTGCTTTAGGAATAGAGGAAGCAGCAATTTCAGCTTCTCCTGCTCCTCCTCAGTCAGGTGTGGACGCAGCAGCGGCTGCAGCATGTCAGCCTGAGCCAAGTCCAGGCCCACGGCACTGGGGCACAGTGGGAACCTGGCCCTGCCCCAGCTCCCTCCCAGCCCCACGGCACCCAGGCCAGTGTCCCTTGCCAAAATCCATGCCCCTTTCAAAACCTGTGCCTCTGGGAGCTCGAGGTAACCCTGCGATAAACACCAACTCCTCCTCAAACAGGAGCACGCTAAGTAAAGATGCAATCTTTTAAACTCGAATTGAGTAAAAATCTTTTAAACTCAACTCAACCTGGTATTAGGAAAAAAAAAAACAAAAAAAACAACCAACCAAAACAAACACACAGCAATTTTGAGACAGGATAATTCCATTTTATACATTTTATTTCTGTGGGTTCTTAAGTTTTAAATAACATTAGACATTTTTGTTCTGATATTATCTCGATTGCAGTTCTTCCTTTTCAGTAAACTTTGGGATAATTTTCACAGTGGACATTTTATGATGATAAAAATGCAAGGAATTCAAAGCACAGCTTCTCTGCAATCGTGAGCCTCCCAAGCATTAAAGCCTAACTTAAGGAACAGCAATAATGATCTTCATTATTTAAAAAACCACTGATATTTTAAAAAAAAAAATTCAATTATGCCATGACTGAGTAATTCTTAGATTTTATTCTCAATTCCTGGTTGGTTATTTTTTTTTAAAAAGACAGCTTGGTTTCAAAAGGCAGCACTACTCTTCCATGAGACACACTCTGTGCTTTGTGCTACCAAGCACTCTGAACCAACAGCCTTATTTCATGCACATTTTCACTGCGAGAGCAGGATGAGATTTATTTTTTTCCCTTGGGTCAACAGCACTCTTGTAAGCATCACAGAACTGAACTGATAAAATGCAACACCAGCTCTGAGATCCTTAGACTTACAGCTGCAAATTATTTTAGAGGACATACAGAGTAATAGCACACAAAAATCTTCTACTCTGGAGTCTCCTATGCAGTAACCAGTCATGAAAAGACTTCTCTAAGATGAGAAGATCAAAATCACCAACAGTGCAGAAACGCCGCTGCTGTCCATCCCTAAGTAGGCAGAGTCACGATTACCATTCACTAGCTATAGGAGGGCGAGCGGGGCTGCGTGGACATCCACACCCTTGGGGGAGAACAGTTGCTAACAAGCTCCTATACACAATGCGCTTCATACACAAGCAGTGAGAAATAATCTACAGTTATTACTACCAGGTCCTGAGTACATCCATAACCGATATTTCAAGCGTTAACCTTTAAGCCCAAATTTTCTTAAAATGATCCTGCAGAACATATATATTTCAAACATCTATATTTAAAATTATCTATTTTAGTAACCTACAAACTTTATTAGAGCTAGACTATCTGGAGAAAAACACCTTAAATTAGATTTCAAGTATTCATCAACATTAAAGTTGTCACTCTTGAAGTTCTTTGAAGATCCTGAGACAAACACTCATACGCAATCAAAAATAAGGAAAAAAAAAAAAAAAGTTAAAAGAACCAAAGCAGCTCGCAGAGCAGCATTGCAAGTCCCTGTGCAGGCCAGCTCCTGTCCACTCAGCCCAGGCTTTTCAGACCAGACCGCTAAGCCTCGCAACCCATCGGGGAGACTTGCAGCTCCCAACAGAAAGGTCCGCCACGACATTCAGCAGCTGCTGGAAGCTGAGTTACCTTATCTTTTGCAGTCACTTGAAATTATATACATCACTATCCATTCCATTCTTGCTTGGTGACAGTGATTTGTGAGGAATACAGAAGCATCAACTGATTGCAGCATCAGCAATCCCAACTTATTTCCACATATTAACTGCACAAAAAGGAACAAGCAAGTGAAGGAAGCCAAGCAGTATTTTATTGACTCCCAGAAGATAGATATGGACTGCATACAACCCTGGAAAACTTCTTACTTTTTAAAATCCCAGAATTATAAACAAGAGAACTCATTCCTCATAAATAACCTGACACCACTCCTTTGTCAAAAGGTTTTGCCATGGAACAGATTTCCTTTACAGTTTAATTTCAGTCGTTCTATTCGAACTGCTTAAAAAACTATGTCTATAATAATAATTAAATATATTGCTCATATTTGTGACTTTCATAAAAAAAATAGTTTGAGCTAATACTTTCCTAGTCATCAAAAAAATCCAGAGAGACACCAACTTTTGAATGAGCACTTCAGAAAGATGGGTAAAAATAATGTGCCGAAAATTATCAACAGACTTTATTTATCAATATACTGAGCCCCTTAAAAATGTGTATTTCATCTGAGAGCAGTAATGATTTCAAGAAAACACATACAGTGCAACCAGCTTTCCCTCAGTCCTGCAGAAACCTATACATGTATTCAACTACAGCCACAAAAGAACTTCTGCAACATGAACGAGACAAGGTTGATCTCAAAGGCAGATGTCCAAGTACTTGCAGAATCTGACCACACACAATTAAATTCCTTTTATTTTTAGAAGGTCAGCCTAAGCCTCAGTCAGATGACAACCACAGAAGCCTTGTTGGGCTTGGAGAGGCCATGGGAGCACTTCTGGTTTTAATGAGAAGCAGACAGGATGGCTTAAGTTGACAATGAAGCTGAATTAACACAGCTTTCAACATTTGTTCCTCTGGCATCTGGAAAAGGCAATAACCTCTGGAAGCATCAGACTTTTCCGAGGGGACCACCAGGCCACAGACTTGTTTGCCTTCCTACAGCAGTGCTCGCTATTATCCACAATACATTGCTTTCACTTCAATGCATTACTTCCAAGATGCTAACCCAGAGGCTTTGACTTCGACTTGAACTAAATGATCAAAGCTTGATAATTTTTTTAAGCTGAAAATGTGTTCCTACTTGAGCAATAACAAAGAGCACATCTCCCTAGCATGCATGATTGGCCAGAAGGGGTTTTACATCAAAGTCTCCAACACCCCAAGTATTTGCAAACCCCCAGGAGATGCTGGGGCTGAGGTACTCCAGTTAAAGCTTTGGCCATGAAGCTGGCTGCAGGGACCCATGCTCCACTCCACTGCCTCTGCAGATGTGCCAGCACAACTCTAAACTGGACCTCTGACCCAATGTGGGTCTAAAAGTAACCCTTGACTTCAAAGCATGGACCAGCCCGCTGATCCAATGTCCCACACAGCACAGGCAAGGGGTGGTGAAGTGGAGCGGAGGGGCAGAAACCAACAGCTGCAGCAGTGGTGCACTGGTTTGTCAGGTGAACTCCCATGTCATGAACCATCACCTTCATCGTTTGCAAACGGAACACGGAGGACATCTGAGATGCTCTTCAGAAACCACAGGTGATACCTGGATGGGCACGAGCCAAGGGACGTGTTTGGAAACATACTGTAAGCAGAGAAGCCATACCAGATATTGCCTCACCCGCTCCTAAACGTCATGTACTAAAAAGTCTTTTTAAAAGTGCCTTCTATATACCAGTTAATTAAACTGAACTCACAATATTTCCCTTCTATGTTACATTTTTACATAAAGCAGAAGTGTCTACACCTTCAGGAAAAATACCTTTCTAAGTAACTGTCAAAACAAACAAAAGCACATTTGAGGGCAACTTACCTAATTAGCTTCATGAAGATCATCACACGTGTAAAGCCAAAAGGCAATGAAATCTCAGAGACACAATAACTTGGGTGAAAGCAGATGTAACTCACAGGAAAGAAGTTTTAACAACTTTCTGTCCATGCAAGAGCTTTTCATTTCTGAGAGGAGAGCAATTAATACCCAGCAAGTGTCTGGTTTTGGCAATTCAGGCTTAGCGCCCTTAAAATGAGCTGCTTTTTTTTTTTTTTTTTTTTTTTTTAAGTTGTCATATCACTGTAACAGTTACGATCGTATCCTGATGAGTTCCTGGGATATACAAATCAGCTACTTCTAAACAAGTTTCTGCATGTTATAGACTAAACTTCTTAACTTACAAATAATTATTTTGCTGTTTCCAGTTTACAATGGTAAAAACAAATGAAGACTTCACAATGTGTATAAATGGGAGGTAAATGTATTTTTAAAAACAGAATAAAAAGCTGCATGTTAAAAACTGGGTCACAGACTAATAAATACATACATCAAAGACATGAAATTTTCAGCAGCTGGTTTTAAAGAGCAAGGAAGTGGGGAAAAACTAGCTGTCCAGACTCCATTCTGGCTCTGTGGTCTATATGCTAGAAATAGCTGCACTTCAAATACAAGTTAACAGAGGAGTAGAATCAGCTTTGTCACCTATTTTCTTTTAAAAAAATTAAGCTACTTCCTAAAAGTGTGGTGTAAAACCTAGAGAAACTTTCATTTCTTCATGCACTTGATGACATTGAATTAAAAAAAAAATTCTTTTAACCCAGAAAAAATGAGTCATTGTATACTGTAAGGACAGCCTTACTGCAAGTTTTCTACAGTAAAAGTATTTCTAGAAATACACCAGAAATTACTTTGCCATAACAAAATATACAATTATGTGTCAGATCATCATTGATTTTCAATACTTAGGCAAAACAGAAAGTTACTATGAAGTTTCAAAAAAACAAAGGAAAAAGCCCAACTCCAAACAGTAAAAAGATGTTTTGACAGCTGTGGAGATGCCAGAAAGCAATGCTGGACACCAGGAATTTCCAGAACAACCCCCTTTCCAAAGTGATGTGCAGTCTGTGAATTAGACCGTGAGAGAAAACTGATCCTGTTCTATGGGCTTCTCCACCCAGGCTCCGAGTCCTGCCTTCAGGAATGCTTTAAACAAACACTCTTTGGCAGTTTGATACTCAGTGGCTCCTTGCTTGGTTTCGTGGTACAGGTTAGGCTTGAGGATCTTTGAGCGCAAGCTAGAGGAAAGCTGTGTGGGTTAAAGACGAGAAAAGAAGAGAGACAAGAAACTATTAAGCCAAACAGTTTGAGAGTGACTGAGTTATTAAAACGACTATTATTAAAACAAGTTAATGAACCACTAAACCAAATGTTCAGGCAAAGGCAGGGAAGTACACAGAACTGTTCCAAACGGCAAGGTTTGCCTCTTGCAGAGCGAGCCCTTCCATAGCACCGTGCCGTGTCACGGTATGGCAGAGGCACCCCTGGTACTAGTCTCACCTCAGCCAGCCTGCCTTTCGCTGTCTCTGGACTATCAACTTCCTTCAGTGGAAGAAATCGAAATCCTGAAAAACTACTGACAGATACTTTCTTGTAGCTTTGACTGCAGTGAAACTGGGATTATCCTTCCAAATGAATTAAAATGAGAAGGCAAGCTCAAAGGAGATAGCACCCTTTGTTTACTTAGCTATAAACCAAGGGTTATTAGATCCTTGCACACCTCTTGGACCAGACATCATCAAGATAAACACAGAAGAATAACAAACACATCGTTCTTTTCCATTACTACATGGAGCAGTGGCTAACATCAGGCTCAGTTTAAAACAGGCTCAGAAAATGGCTCCTGAATACAGCAAGCAGCATGCACAGATATTTCATTAAGAATTAAGTGGAAAATCTATCACTCTGGAAGACATACCTTTGCATGAATACGCATCCAGCGGCTGTAAAAAGCATGCTTACAAAGGCGAGATGCACGGCCCATCTCATCTTTGCCGGTTGTAGCATTAATAACTTCAAGACCAGTGTCTCCTACTGTCCAGTTCACACTGAAGTTTGGTGCTTTCCCTGGCTGACGGGCTTCTGCATTGCTAATACCTGAAAGAAAAGCGATGTTTAATGACAATAGTAAATACTAACTCTTGATTTTTGTTTTTACTGAGGAGTAAGCTGTACAGCACAGCTACTGAACTCACACTGCTAAGCTAAGACTGCTGTCTGACATGCGGATCTGTGATTCCAAGGATATTTTCCTGCAGATTTTTCACTGACTCGTGGAAATACCACCATGCACACATCTCATTCTCATCCTGGCTAAAGTGCTCACTCCTTCTGTCCCTCCTAGCAGGGCAAGCGTGCCCTGCTGGAGCCATGAGAAACCAGCCTCCTCAGCAGGGGGCGGCTGCGGAGAGCCCTGTGGCAAGGGTCCGTGGGGACAGTAACATGAGCACCTTGTCACATCCGCCTCAGAAGGATTTGGACTTGCCTACAGGGCAAACCAATGACCTAATTATTAACCTGCAAATAATTATGAAGCAGAAAAAAAAGAAGTTGCTCCACTCCTGCACAAGAAACCTCTGCTCTCAGAGCTCACTCAGTAGCAGGACGAGGCAAGTGTAGGAAAAAGCAGATACTGTGAGGTTTTGACAGGTGTAACTCTCCAGTCAATTCCCTTTCACTCTGAAGTTGTAAAAATTTAGGTGCGTATTGCTTATCTCATTTCAAAACGGGTGTGAAACTACAAACCCTTGTCATGTTACAACACTCAGTTACAATTCAGCCAACAACTCTGGATGGCATTCTTATTTGGAGAGGTCGTGCTTATTTAGAAGTGCTTACAACGTGCTTTTCCACTTTCCCTCATAAAAATGGAGTTGAGTCAGAACAGCGATACGAGATGGTAGTATGCTTCACCAACTAAGGATCTATTTCCTCCTTCTTACGGACTATGCTGGGGCACAGTGTGACCGGCACAGGCAGCGGCACTGACGCTGTGGGCATCCAAGTTAGACAAAATGAGCCCCATCCTCAGCATCCTCTGCAGAAAGCCAAAACCAGCAGACATTTCTTTCCGTATAGATCTGGCTGTGCTTCAACTGCCACCCCACTTTACGTGCCCATTGCTACTTACAGTGCCCAGAAATGGCAAACTACAGGACTCAAGAAAGAACGTGGGTCATTTTGCTCAGATACTAAATTGCGTGACAAATATGGCTTCATCTCCGCTGATGGAGAAGAAAAGCCACCAGAAGTCTAACCCAAGTGCAAAGTACGGCTGGCTGGCTGCCCAGGCTGCCTGAGGCGGGATTTATACCCCCACAGCACCCCCACATGCTGCAGAGACACACTGTGTGTAATGACTGCGGTACCATGCTTGAAGATCACAGCAGGCGCTGCCATCCACGTGCAGCTCCACTCCTGCACGTGCAGCAGGACGGCACCTGCAAGCAGCAGCTAGGGCCAGGAGCTTGCGTTGTGCGTGCTATAGAAAAGCTGAGGAGCACATCGGATTTGATCCTGCAGACATTACAGGGGTGGCAAAAATCTGCCTTGAAGACGTCTCAGTTGTCTCACCAGGAGAGAACAAAGGAACAGGGCAATTTCTTCTTTCCAATCAATAAAGATCTCATTTTTACTTTAAGGCAACTGAGAACCTATTTCAAATCTACTCTGAGGTTATGCTAGGTCCTACACTTTATAAAATCTAGCAAATTTGTATAAATCGAACATAAGTGTTACAGCAAGATGCACTTCTTGCTGATATTTGAAATACAGTCTAATGCACCCGAGTGCAGGACTGGCTCACTTGGCCCGGGTTTCTGGTCCCAGCGCTGAGAGCGTGAGGCCTGTGAAGTCTGAATGACACAGTGAAATTCAGTTTGTTTACTATAATCAATTCCTCATTTCATAAATAAACATTTTGAAATATCAATCATATTGAACTTCCTGAAGCTGTTGAATTTTTACACCTGGTTTATGTCAACCTGGTCACTATGACTGTTAACCAGTAAGTAAGTGAATAGGTAAATAATAAAAAATAACACTACCATTCCACATTTTCTTAACATACAAGTTGAAAAAATTGAGAGTCAGAACAAAAGTTTCCTGGAGAGCTCTTTTCTGATTTCTTTTTGGAAAGGTGCATGCAAGAGCTGTAATACAGCAGCATGCCACTGATCTACACCCACTGATCTGTAAATCAGTGAGCAGGGATGTGGGACCCACACACTGACCAACCTGGGAGGGCAGACAGTGGTCCCTGCTGAGCAGGTACCATCAAGAATATCACTCAAGCAATGCTCAAGGAAGACCCAGCAGGAATAGGGCTTTATGACAAGAAGAGAGTTGAAAAGTCCTCATCACAACAGCTGTGGTCCTTCTGAGGCGTGGGAACAAACGTGCATCACGCCTCCTGAAAACAGGAGCTGGTCACGCACCACACAGCTTGTCTTGTGCCACTGAAGTGCAAACACTGCCACTCTGACTCATACAACACAAGGCTTGCACCTGAACACCTAATAAATTGTAAATTTTGGGTGCACACAAGACAAATCTCAACTCTGAGTTTCCAAAAGCATGTAAAAATCAGGCTGCTTCGTGAAGCTTATGTGAAACAGACCCCTGCTGACAAACCTCTTAATCAAAAATTGATTTTACCAAAATTACCGAAACAAGAGGGCTAAGAAATTGCCACCACATGACAGGCAGGTCAGTCATATTTTATCTTTATTTTAATGACATCTATATTATTTCTTTTGTTCCATATACTGCTGAACAAGTACAGGTATCAGATATAGTTCATTGAGTACTACAAGACAGCATTTGCTCCTGCTGTATCAGCTACTCAGACACCTGTGACACGACAAACCAGGTGTCAAATACTCAGACACCTGTGACATTATAAGCACCCACACAAGCAAATCAAGTAAAGATGAGGAAGCTGAACATCCAGTATGCATTACATTTCCATGGCAATTGTAATTGTAACCTTGGGTTATTTTGATTAATTAAAAAATTACAAAAAACCAGACTCAGAATTTCAAACAAACTTAAATAACAACACCCTGTTCAGCTGCTTAATTATCTGCATGAACCCTGCAGAGATGGCCTGAAGGTGGATCATGGGTAGCACAGACAGAGAATAAAGGTAATCTTAAAAGCAAAGCATCTAGGTGGATCTTAACTTTCCCCTCAAAATCTAGACATGAACATAGCATGATAAGCTGAAACTAGTAATGGGAGAGAAAGCTAGGATAGAAAGTAAAATATCTTATTCTCCTTTGAAAACTCATATAACTAAGCTATTTAGACAACATTGCTCAGAACTTATTGTTGAACATTATTATAATGGGGTATAATAAGCAAAAGCAAAGGTCACAGCTCTTTGTGCCAGTGCTTATATAAATAATAAAGCTTGACAGTTCTTTTGAGGACAGAGCTCAAAAAAACTTCATTAAAAAAGGACACAGGGAGCTGAAAAACACCAGTGTGAATGGGAGGACAAGGTACCAAGGAAACAGCCAAAAAAATCACCAAAGATTCTGCTGAAGGATTTATTTTTGTTTAAAAAAAAATGTGGACAACAGTCAGAGAAGTGCTGAGGCATGAACATTTATAATAACCACTCTTGCTGTGGTGATTGAAGTCTTCTTATGTACAAAAACTGGAGGAATGTTTTACAAAAAGGGTGGGTGGGTTCCCAGGCTGGGGCCCCTCTTCACAGGCAACGTGCCAGAGGAGCCACCTCAAACTGAGGTGCCAGTAAAAATAGTTCCAGGATATGCCTATGAAGTAAGCAAACACCAGTTACAGCACCCAGACAATATTCAACCGCATTCAAGGGAACTAAAGATGAGGCAGCAGGAACAGCAGTCGTGATATATAACCTCTCAAACCACACAAGTTCTCCAGCACATCTCCAGAAAGGTGGCCAATGAGACTCCAATCTTTAAGGAGTTTAGAGGTGTGCCAGGGAGCTACCAGCCAATACACATGACATCTGCACCAGGAAGGCTTCAGGAACTATGATACCACACTACTAGGTACAAATGTAAATACAGCAATACTGTGAAGGACTCCACAAAAAACTGCCTTTTGTAACTGAAGACTGGAGGTGGCCAGTGTGACACAAATTCTTGGAGAGCACAGCAAGTAGAAGGCCTGTCCGTTCAATGTGTACCTTAAAAACAGACTTAATGGACACCTGGATGAAGACAGTCTCCTTGGGAAGAGCCAGCACAGCTGGAGACCTTCAAGTTCTGTGCAGACCTTGATAGTATGCATGGGGAAAAAAAAGAGGTGAATAAGCTTGGTGATGATACTAAATTTATTTAAGAATATTAAGAGAAGAAACTGCAAAGAGTAGCAGAAAAAAACCTCACAACACTGGGTGACTGGGCAACAAAAAGGCAGATTAAATTCCTCACAGATAAACAGTAGGTAATACATATGAGGAAAAAGCAAAGCAATTTTGTATAAGGAGTGGTGGACTTGGAGCTGGATATTAGCAATCAGGAATGAGATTTTCTAATATTCAGTTCTACCAAAAGGTCAGGTCAATGATCAACAGTAATCAAAGGAAGCAAAGTAAATGTTAGCAATTGTTACTGAAAGATCATGGAACTGAAGAGAATATCATGGTGCCACCATATAAATAAGTACTGCTGCTCTATCAGGTGCTGCTCCAGCCTCACTAGCTCAAAAACATGATTGTAAAATGGAAGGGATGATCTTTATGTGGAAGGGTCTCCATGCAAGAAACAAGAAAGCAGACTTTTCAACTTTCAAAATATAAGACTTATGTAGGAATATTGCAGATATAGAAAACCAAGCATCATGACAAGTGCCATGACAACTGCTTATAGCCTGCATCATACAGAGTGCTGAGGAACATCTAATTAAATTAGCAGAAAGGAAATTCCATCATACAAATCTTTACATGTCCTACAGTCCTCCTTACTAAAGGAGGCTGCAGATGGTAAAAAGTTTAAACGAGTTCAAAAACCAGGAGTTCATGAATGATTTCTAAATACAAGGATCTTAATACCTGACTCAGGATGCCCCTGATCCTCAGGTTATGGCTGTGATTCTCAGGAGATATCTGCAGAGGCTTACTATTTCCTTTTGCTTTTCACTGCCTAACTACCTGTGGAAGAGCGTACTGCATTGGACAGATTGTATCTTAACATCTTGGTTTTACCTAAGCCAGTTCTTATGCTGGTGACAGCAGATGTGACACTGCTCCAGGATGTTTCAGCCAAGAACCAAAATAGGAAATACCTGTCAGCAGCACCATGAGCAAGAGGTCAAAACCACCATAATGTCATTTCTGACAATACTCTGGTAAAAGACAGGAAGGTCTAGAGAAACTAAAGCATAAGAAAACTATCAACTGACCAGACATTAAAACAGGGAAAACTTTGCATTTGCTCACTTGTATTTAACAACTTTTGCTCTCAAGGGCTTTCAAGGGCTGATTTTCTGATTGCTGAGCTCTGCCAACCCTACTTCCACCCTGGGTTAAATCCCATAATGTCTTCAAAAAAGAGTCTCTGCAGATTACCCTGCAGACTGGCATTTGTTATTGGCTGATGTATACAATCATCCACATTCTATTTGATTGAGAAATTGACCCCTTTTCAGATTATTCTAGAAATTCACAAGATTCAAACCTGTCTTCTCTTCAAATGAGCTGGCCAATTCTCAGGGAGAGCTCATGTGACCACAGTGCTGCAGCATGCTAAAGGGATCCCAAAAGGTCGGGCCCTGCAACCAAAAGGCTTCCAAAAGTCAGCATGGGGAGGGAGTTTTCTACCAACATACAGATTTCCTGTATCCCCTGGCTGAAAATCAGCTACTCTGATATGCACGTTTACATTTGACTTGCTGGGAAAAGGAGGTATAAGTAGAAAATCTCCTATGAGGAAAGAAAGATGATTAAAAGAAAATTTTTAGTGGTTAGGTAACAATAACTCAGTCTGACTTAATGCAATTGTTCCTCCAGACATAAAACTTGTTTTATGAGTCAAAAAACCTCACAGTTTTTACAATACTTTCTCAGTTAAACATGTGAGACAGTGGAAAAGACAGCTATCATCTGGTAGAAATGAGCCACCATCACACAGTTCTGTGTGTATACCAGGAGGAACACAGAACTGGGGACTGATACTTCTGTGGTGCTTATCCCAGGCAAGAATACACTGTAAAATGTGTGAATAAAAGAGCAGATGGGTAGCTACATAAATGCCCCAGCTGAATCCAGCAGCATGGGTCAGAAGACTAGTTTTTAAAACTGAACCAGTAGAGAAAAAAAGAAAAAAAATCTATCAACACAATTCTCCACCCAACCTCCCAAATTAGCTTCTCGTACAACTTTGAGACATGTATTTTCATGAAAACCCTACAGCTGAGAACACTTCTGAACTCTCTCTGCTGCTTAGTGAGTCCCAGCTGAACTGTTTAAACAGATGGTGCTAGTTCATGGCAACTAGATGATAACAATATTGCAGAAAGATAATTTTTAAGACAAGGCACTATTATGTGTTGTGAAAAGGATAACAAAAACTCCTCCCACCCCACCTGAAACCTGCTGTCTTGAAGAACAGATAAAATTCTCACAAATCGGGCAGAAAAAGACCATATAACAATTTAATATTTGGTGCTGTGAGTGTTGTAACTGTTATTTGCTCATACAAGGACAAATACATTACTTAACATTTTAATATGTTCTGGCTTAGGGAATCCTTACTAATTGCATTCTTATCTAAAGAAATGCTGGTTGTTCAATATGATCTTTTCTCCACTCCCTCCCTAAATCTGTTTTAAAAATTCATGTCAATTTTAAACATGCTTTAAAATACTGAGCTTTTTCTTCCCCTTGAAAATAAACAGACACATGCCAAAAGCCAAGCTCTACAGAACAAAGCAATGCACGCAACAGAGGTAAGATAAGAGATTTCAGTTTTAGAGCTTTCACAGCATTACTGTAACTAGCAGTTTTAGACTTTAAGACACTTCAGAACTTTTCTTTGAAAGTCACAGCTCAGTTAGGAGTTATGAGCTGTTAATACAAATACTGCCATTCCTCTTAGCCCCACTAGAGCCTAGGATCAGCACAATGCCCAAGAACAGTACTTAAATTTTCAACAGCAGATGCAAAAGACAACCGCTAACTACACCAGCAGGGGCTTGCCATATTGCTGTCTGTCAGATATATTTAATACTCTATTAAAAATATTCCCAAAGAATGTGCCACTGGGCTCTGAATGCAGCATTTCTGTATTAACCTACAAAGTGGAAATTAAAATTATTATTGGGTCATGCAAACAAGTTGGGTGCCATGCTAATTAAAGCTAATGCTGCATCCAACAGAGATTGATGATAAAAAGAAAATACAACCAACGGCAGCTGAGATGTTCTCTCCATCCATATTTAGATGGTTATTGATCTAGAATTTGTGAACCAAATGTGTCTATCTTGGCATACTGATTAATGACGGCGGTTCAACAAATATCTGCAATGGCAAGAGAAGTGACAGTGAGAGCTAACACACTATTTCATGGGTGGGAAGAGGTTTCACTAAGCCGGGCCCTTCAACTTGCCTCACATATTGCTAGGGTATGCTCCAGACAGCAATTATGTGAACACGCATCCAAAGGTTCATATTCCAGTTCTTTCCACCTTTTAACTCACAAAGAGTCCTTGCTATGGTATTTCTGACCAAGTATCTGTCTTAGATTTAGACCATAACTTTACTGTTGTAACCAGAAAGCAGTTTACTCACAGTACATAATTTGCAAGGTTTTTGAGAACTGCAAAATCACATTGCTACTGGAACGGACTTAGTTACCGGCACGGCCTTCTCCATTAGATACTTGCCACTAAGTAAAGGTCTGTTGAGTGTATAAAGAGGTGGTAGATCTTCTATCTCTGCTATCCTCTGGTATACGGCTCTGGATAGATGATCCCCATGATATAAACTCCCCAAGATGATGCTAGAGAAGTAAATTGGCTCCACAAAGAGGCTAAGTAAGGCTCCTTGAATACCCAATACGTTCCACCTAAGAGGGAGGGAAAAACAAAACAAAACAACAAAAAAAACACTTTCTTTTTAATGGAACATGTAACATCTGCTGGACATAATAGCAGTCAATCACAATGGATCAGACTTTCAACCCTTCCTCTTGACTAGCATATGACTATGGTAGCATAGCTGTGACACCTGCCAGAATTTCAGAGATCAGCTTACGGGATGCTCAGCAAAATCCTGAGAAAGAAGACCTACAGCAACAGGTCTGTTGTCAGCATCCACTGCAGAAGCAGACTCCATAACTTTAATTCCCCCCTAACACGTCTGGTGATGCATTTTCCAGCACCCTAATGCCAGATGGACAGGATCATTCAACGGGAGAAAGCCAAACAGTGAGATCCTCAGTCAGAAACAGTAGCTGATGCCTCCAAAAGACACCCAGCAGTGGGTAAACCGTCCTTCCCAGAATACAAGAAGGATTGTCTCTGCAAGACCTCAGCACCATAAGGGAAAGCTTGTCCATGACACCCTAGCTGAACTGTCCACATCCTGCTGCCAGAAAGGATGTATGTAGTTGCTTGCAATATCCATGGGCACGGAGAAAACTGAATATGAAAACTGAAAATATGCAAAGAGTTCATACAATACCCTTTGCTTGCTTTAGCTGCTTTATAGACTCCAACCATAAATCCCTATATGCACCACTGTGACCTACCCTGGATCAGGTCCGGTGGCAGGGATATAGCAAGCCTAGGAGCAAAATACTCAAGTGGTGTGTAGCTGTGTTTGTTTGATCAAGTTTTGGCTCTCTATCTGTATGTAACAGTCATACAAAGTACTTTTTAAAACCTCAAAGTCTCTTGCAGAGTTTTTCAGTGTCCTTGTCTTTGAGGTTTACTAGCAAACAGCTTGGCACTGTTAAAATAGCATACTTGAGTACAACTGCAACACCCAGACACAAGCAGCAGGAAAGTTTCTTTGGTGCTTCAGTAAAACGGATGAGCACAATGGAAACTCACATAGAATGGCTGTCCTTATTAAAAGGCCCATCCTAAATCACACTGCCACGTTCCCCTAGGGCAACAGGGAACTCTGGTATTGCTACCAGAGTTTCTTGCAGCTCGTGCTGGGGTGGCATGGCTACACATCATCATCAGTTCTGCTTAGAAACTAAACAGCACAACTGTTTCACTGCTGCAAAAACTGAACTACACATTTTGGCTACAAGACTTGCAAAACAATTTTTTAAAAAAAAGGGTAAAGAAAAATTGCCATCCAAGGAAACAATTTCTTTGCATATCTTTACTGAGGATGAAAATGGAGGCAATGTGCATTAGCTTACTCACCTGTCATTAAAAAAGCTGGCCCTAATGATAAGGTATATTTTACATTAAATAAAGGTGTATTTTGTATAACATTGAAAATACAATCAGAGACCAAACATCAGAGTAAAGATATCAAGCAAAAAATTAATACTTCCCCGGGCCAAGATGCCTTTCCGAGGACCTTACCCTGACTAGAATTTTGTAAGCACAGAGGTGTTATAAGTGCTGAATTAATAGCATTTTCTTGTTATTTGCAGTATTACCTACATCAAGCATAGAGAAGCACATGACCTGCTACAGATAATATTACAGAAGACTAAGAATTCAAGACTAAGCATTGCAAACTGGGGTCTTACAAGCGTATCTGAAACTTGCAGACATAAAAACAAAGCTTCCTTCAGTGAGGTACATCACATTTTACTTTTCATGAACCGTACTTGAGTGACAGATGGACATTTTTAAGAAGGTCAAAGTGTTCCTCTGGCAAGCCCTAGCTTCCTAAATGAAACCTTTGCCAGGCCCTTTTCCTTGCTTCAGCCTCCAGTATTTCCAGAGCTTCTGTTTTGCTGCTTCCTCCCACACTTGGTGAACTTCTCTGGCACAGAAAATGAAAGCTGAAGTTTGTCTTGCTCAGCTTCTTTTGATTAAAAGAGGAGTGTGGACACCTGAAAGAGCTTCTGCAAGGTGAACTGCATGAACTGGTATTACAAGAGTTACTCTGTGCCTGCCCACACGCCTGCCGTTTTGCTGGGGTATGCTGCATCATGTTTACCTCTGTGGTACGTGCTCACGAGCGCTGAGTTCAGAGCAGCTGGCTCTGAAGGACAGTTTGCAGAAGGACAAGGACAAGGTTTGCAGAAACTATTCACACAACCAAAGCCCCAAGCTCTTAATATTGATTAGGCTTATAAAACTAGCTTGACATTTCATTTGTTATAATAAAAAGAACATACCTGTGGAAAGGTATACATGTATCAGAAACTGGCAGTAGCACAGAGATAAGCATGAAACCCAACTGCATATTATCACAGAGTCAAAAGGGAAGACTTCATAGACTTTCTTGTTGTTGCTTTTTTAAGCTGTACTTCTGTCAAACTAATTCCTCACTTCTATTAGCACATAACACTAAAATCCACCTTTATAGATAGAAACTGAGAAACTACACCAATACCACATATCAGTTTTTGAAAGGCCACAGGCATTGCCACCTGAAATGGTAAAACCTCCTTTCCCTTCCAGTTTACATGCATGAATTATCAGAACAGATGCCAACAATGGCTGTCAACCTAGTACTAAAGTTTACTGAAACCACAACTTCTTTTGAAGTTAACAGGCCAGATTCTGTATTTCACTACAGACTGTGAGGTGCAGAGCAGAAAGAGCAAAATTTATTACAGAAAACTTCAGTAAAGCCATTGTTGCCTTTCTGGTGAAACAATTAAGCAAGGGTTTTTTTCTTCACATTAAAAAATAGTATCAGAAAAGGGTTAAGTAACTGAAATTACTTAAATTTAGGTTACAAACTCAAACCTTTCAAGGCTCAAATGTAGCTTATAATACAGAAATGAACCTTCCCACACTGCAGGAGAGTGGACATAGACCCTGGCTGTGGCACAGTACTCATTTAGTGGCATCTGATGGCTCAAGAAAGCAGTAACAGAAGACAACTCTCCCATCACTAATTCAGCAGTTTAAATCTCTCTTGCACCAGCCCTGGGCAAAAACGCAGAGCTCCCACATAAAATGACCTGATCTCAGACCACAGAGCAGACTGCACCCACGCAGTACCTTTTCTCACCATTAAAATAGGAAAATGGCACCATGTTTGCAACAGAGAAAAGCACTAAAGCACAAGCGTAAGCAGGAAAGCGGCATCACGTCAGTGGTGTTACTGAAATGCCTAAAGGTGCGCAGACAAGAGATTTGCCAAAGGGGAAGAACACCTCAGCAGGCAGGGAAACACCCTCCAACATAAAATTTCTCACTGGGCAAACATGAGACACTTGTCTTAGCTGATCATAAAACCAATGCCTCTCATGACACTATTTTACATATTCTGAGTGTTCTGGTTTTAAGCTACTACAAGAATTTTCTTTCACAACCTTTAAAAAGCTTCAAAGCAAAACTAACATTTAAAATACAAACTTTTATATTGATATAGAGCATGAGCCACAAGATTTAGGTCCACACTGCCAGCACTTATATACAGGTGCCTTGATTTGAGCTGGGGCCTAGGTCTCATTACAGTTAATCACAATGTACTCAGCAGCCGAGTACGACCATGGTTGTTGGGCTGAACAGTTCTCCATCAACAAGTCAGCTGTCTAATGCCAGGGAAGCTGGGGCACCTGGCATGGATGGGGATACCTGCGGCCAAACACCAGCTGCGTGTTCAGCCACATGCTTCTTTCAGCTTCAACTCTGCAGTTCTGCAAGCAATGCACGCTGCAAGAAAAGGCAATCTGACACGATGCCAGAAAGTTCAAGCAAAGATGCATTTACTTATCCTGAACTGGCCTTTCTCTTCTAAGCTGCCTTTTGTGAGACAGAAGATCATTCAGAACCAAGTGGTTGCGTTCACTGTCTACCAGGGGTTTGTTGAGCTGTTATTTAAGCCCTACCATGTCTGAGGAGGCAACAAGATTTCTCAAGCTCTTCTAGCAATAATTAGAAAAGAACTTAAGCTTGAGAAGAGAAACAAAAGCTGAAAATCAAAACCACAGATCTCCTTTTTTCCTCAGACAGGCTAGCCAACACACTGCAGTAGCCCTTACTATCACCTGGATTAGGAGATTCAGTGCTCCCAACACTACACATATGAGCTACTACTGCTTTTCTGGGACAAGTGAAAAAAAAAATATACCTTTATTTGACTATCTGGCCACTGAACAGCTCCAAACAGTTAAAAAAACATAAGGAGGATGACAGTCAAAGGATGCTGTAATCTGATGCTGCTATAAAGTGCAAAGTTGCACCCCATCATTTCCCCAGCACCAAGACTGACTGTAGAGGGTGCTGCCTATCACCACTTTGATCCCCCTCAGCCTGCTAACTTTATTGCTTGTACAGCTCTCCATAAAGTCAAATCAGTGACATGAAACATTAAAACAAAACAACAAACCCCTGTCCTTGTATTCTGAAGAGGCAGTTCCTCTAGTCCAGTTTACAGCACGGCTCCACGAACAACTGTGGGAGCACTGCTGAGAAGCAAGGAGATGCACAGCACAGGAGGGCATGGGTGCTGGGCGTCTCCTAAAACACCTTCTCCATCAGACAACACACTACCAAAAGCACATTTCCAGATGAAAATTAGCTTGCTTTTAGAAAGGAAATAAGCACTGGACAAATGATGCTTTTTCCTGCAGATAATCTTACTGATTTCAGCTGGGCAATTCTGCTGGGCGAAATGATGCAACGTGGAGCAAACTGTGTGAGGAGCAACAAATTACATCTGGTCTGACCAATATACAACATGTATCCCTTTAGTAACCTCTTATTATTCCTCTCTAAACTCCTTATTATTATTTCATATATTCATATATTCACTGTTTTCTATGAGGAAGAAGTAATTCATAATTACATAAAACTCTCTTATTTCGTATCAGGTTTATTGATTTGTTAAGAAATGTCCATCAAAATTGTACCAATAGACCATCTTTTTTTATACAGTCTTTCTTACATAAAAACTCTGCTTTTCATTAAGGTT